ATAGTATAGTCTCTTTTATTACTCACATTGCTATATTTTTCATGAAGTCGTTTTTTCATAAAAAATTTACTTCAAATAATTTCGAGGCACCCTGATGGCTGATTGGGAACCTGTTTATTTTATATTTTTATCACTATCTATACAAAAATTTTCAAAATATTTTGACAAGATATTTTTGAGCTGTTTGTGGAAATTTTCAATTTTTAATTTTCTTAAGTTATTTTTTCTATAAATGTCAATAAAATGTTATTTTTTATAAGCACTCAAAGTTCATTTGTTAACAAAATTTAAAAACTATTTTGTACTTAAAAATGTTTAAAACTTTCAACTTTTATAGATAAGGGTTAACAATTTAAAACAAGGTTCAATGTTAGTAGTTAACTCTGGACCAAAATATTTCAACAATTTATAAACGCAGTTTTTTGTATAGTTATTTCAAGTTCAAATTTGGACAAAATTATATATTAAATAACCAGGAATAATAATTAGAGTTTTATTGTTGTAATGTTGTGTAATTTAAAAAGATTATTTGTAGGTACTTGAAACTTTTAAAGTCGCAGTGGCCAGTGCCAGTGGCGTAGCTTAAACTTTAGCTAATTTTCGTAACTTTGGGTTACATTTACATCGTATTGAATGTGTCCTCTATATGACTATATGTATTTAAAAATTTTAAATACAGTGAAACCTGACTTAACGGACACCTGTCTATAACGGACACCTCTCTTAAAGGACAAAATTACCAGGTCCCTGCAAAAAGATAGGCATTCTAATGTATTTCGACCTGTCTATTACGGACTCCTTCTGTTACGGACACGGATACTAATATTTAATCCAACAATTTCATAACGGACAAAAAAACATACATACATTCTACGAAACAGCGTCGATAAGGAACGCAATTGGGTCATTCAGTGAAAACATGGATTACGACCAATTAGTAATTACATTATCGCCGATTACGATAACGCTATAATTGTCTATTGAATTTCTACAGTCTAAGATATCCAGATATAAATTGCAATACGTATAAAATATGATAACCATGAGTATCAAACGTTTTTATTCAGTTTCTATCGGTTCGCACTGTTCGCAGTCAGAGTTGTACATCTTTTCCTTAGCAATGCCACCTCCCGTGCCGCGTAAAGCTTTAAATTAAAAACAAAAGGATTTTCATATATGAGCGAATTAATTATCCATCACGAGTTGGAAATGCCCAAATCGAAGTTCAAAAAACAAATATCAATAGAATTATTTTTTTAAAAATATTTAATAAATGTATACAAATATAATAGTATGTACATATAATACATTTATAATGTGTTATTGTGTGTATATAATATAAAATTAATAATTGTAATTGTAATAAATAATTAAAATTCAATTCATAATGTAGAATGTATGTGTATAATATATATATTTTTACTTATATTAATAAATAAATTATTATGATATATGTATAATATTAATAAAGATTATACCTAATATGTACATATTATAAAATATGAAACAATACGTAAAATGTACTTAAACATTTTAATTTTTAAAACATTGAAACCTGTCTACAGCGGACACCTGTCTATAACGGACAATTATTTTGGTCCTATGACTGTCCGTTATATACAGGTTTCACTGTAATACAATTATTATACTGTAAAATGTAAATACGACTTTTAATTGGTTCTGCAAATCGGTCGAAACACGTTGTTTTCATTTAAACTAAACCAAATATTTTTATTTTGAGTGTTGCGGTTCAATATTACTGTTCGGTTCCACGGAAATGCATAATAGTTTGATCAACTATCCAAGTCATATATTAAAGCCCGTATATTCTCGACTCAAATCTTCTGGATACGTCTTATCGCATGACCCATATTATGAATTATTTCAAATCACCACCATGTTATGTATTAAATACTGTTATTATTAGGGAACGGATAATAATGCTGTAAAAAACAAGAAATATACCTTAAAAAGAATAATTTAATATTTTAATGCACTCATAACAGAATTATTTTTTAAAAATGCACTAGAAAAAGGCTCTTAAAATTATTTATAATACTAAACAAATTGTTTTAATTATATTTACATAAATTCTTATCATTTTCATCATTTTCTAGTTCTCTTTTTTACCCTGAACATTATTTCCAAAAAAAATGAATCTGCAATTAGACAGGTACTTCCGTTATAATTTTACCTTGTGTTTCATAACAGCCTTGTATAATCAGGTGTTTCTTAAGAGGACGTCATAACTGCATGTGTTGTCTCTGTCTTACAAGTGCGTAACATACCAAATTGTACTCTCGGCAGATAGCGTTTAGTTCCGTTAGTTTAAAAATTGGAGCAAATTGACTTCTATACAATTTAAAGTTAAGATTATTATATTTTAGAAGACCCAGTAGTAATTATTATTTTTCACTCTTATTTTTGCTTATTTCGTCTAAAAACTATCGACGATCAACGATAATAAGCCACAGGGCGCAGACTAACTAATTTAACTTTGTTTTATATTTAGAGAGAAATAAGTGGAAAATTGATGATCCATCTGCTGTAAAAGAAGAGTTAGGGTCAATAAAAAACGAAAATTGGAGTTTTCACTTTAATTTTTTTGGTAAAGCTATATTTTTTATTATTATTATTGTATACTATTATACTATTGTTACTATTATTATTTCTAAGTATTGGAAGTTATTTTAACATTTAAAATTGATACATTTCGTGTTTATTTAACAATTTAAAATGAATGCATTTAATATGCGTATAAATGTATAAAAGGTAAACAATATTCTGTTAACTTTTTATTTAAGAAAAATATTTATTGGTAATCCTTCTATCGAAATATCGGACCTACTCAGAAAAAAATATGTTTAGCGACGCCATAGTTTTTAAGTACCCTATCTTATTATTTATTAAATACAAATATGTTAATATGCAAATAATATTATTTCAATCTACCTGGTACCTAAGTACTAATGACAATATAAATATAATATATCCTAGGCCGACAAACTGTCACCGCTCAGAATTATTTTTTGTATACAATAATATTATATCATTAAATTCAAATTTAACACCATCCATTACAGTGATCTACTTCTAAGTTGTAACCTACTGTGTAGCAGAGCCAGAGCGTTGCCCACTTATTCTTTGTTTAAATGATCTAATTTCGTCAAATTTGAACTTAAAATATCTATAAAAAAAAACCATAGTTAGGTATATAATTTTAGACTTTTTGAATTTTAATTTTTATAAAAAATTGTGCCTATGTATCTTTAAATTTTTTAACTGCTATTACAAGAACTTATGACAGATCTATTATTAAATTTTAAAATTTTAGATATAAAACAAGATATAGCTCAAAAGAAGTTAAAATATTTTGAATGTAAGGAAATGTTAAAATAAACAGTATCTAAGATTTCTTTTTAGGGTTACACAAAAAGCCTATAAATATTCTCTTGATTCTTCTAAAAGTATACAATTAAGTTTTCTTAAGAGAAAATATTTGAATGGTTTGAAAAATGTTGAGAATAAAAACAATAAAAAATATTTTTAGATTCAAGAAATGCGAACAAATTATCTACTTTATATACCTATTAAATAGTATTAATAAGTTGAAGAAATTATGAAAATTCAAAAATGGTAATTCACTTAGTTGCTGAATTGATGACATTAATAACATTGCAATTTCAGTTCAGAAATATTATCAGTCTTCAAACAGGTGTTCAATAATAACTGGTCCTTTCAATTACATACATTACATAATGTCAAAAAAAAAAACATCTTTTTTTTTTTTCTTTATAAGTTTAGGGTAATTTGAAGTATCAAAATGGAGTAAGTGACCTGTGGTCATCTAATTGTTAAAACTTTTGTTTATACTATTTATAAGTTTTTTTAACAGGTTAACCGCTATGTGTACCATTTTTGGTACATGGTTGATTAGCCATTCTTGCTAATCCAAAAAGTAGCGAACATACCTTATTTGCTATGGACCTAAAACTTTATGAAAAAGTTTGATATTTTTATTTTAGTTTATTATGTGATTAAATAATGTGTTTTTATATCGAAATTAATGATTTTCAATCGTGTACCAAATATGGTACACGTAGCCCCCTGGGAAAGTCAGAACTAAATATAATTCGATAATTAATTATAATTTCGTTACTAAGGTAATATCCTTGAATAGTATCTGTCAATAACACTATTTTTGACCACTCGTTGAGTGCGTTTTCAATTTTTCATAACTGATAATGATTTTGTATTATAAATTGTAAAATACGATTGTTGGGAAAAAGTATATTTTTAGACTTGTATACAAATAATACCTATTGAATAATAGTAAATAATGTATATTATAAAATGTAATATAATTAAATTATAATTATAATATTATTAGAATACATACATTATTTAAAATTAAAATTAAAATTGTTTTTTTTTATTTTTTTTACCTTAAAAAATGAATTCATAAGATATCTATGGGCTGGTCGAAAATTTGTTTGTCTGGTGGGCTACGAAATATTTTCCTGTGTTAAAATCGTATTTACGTGTACTATAATAGGTACACTTAACACTTTTTGGCAAAGACTCCCGTGTACCACTACTGGCACACAAAAACTTATTGGAAAAACAACAAGTGTACCAAAAATGGTACACGTGGCGCTTTTGGCAATGTACTGAAAAATGACGTAGCAGTTAACCTATTAAAATTTTATTTTCAATAAAGTTTATCAATCAACACAGATAACATAGGTAGTAATATACATAGGTATAGTAATTATTTTTAAATAAAAAAATCTACCTTTGACTATGTTTATAAAATATTTTTAAGATGCATTAATAAAATAATTTATTTTATTTAGAAATATAAATCAGAAAAAATAATATACATCATATTAATGTACACAAATAAACAATAAATACCTAATTATTGTGTTGTATTAAAGTTAGGGTAGGTTATCAACTATATAATAAAGCATATGGATAATTTTGTTTTCAAACAAAAATAAACTGTTTTATTCTCTAAAATACACAATTGTCTGTTATACAGCTTTTTTTTATAACAAAAAAATTATATTAAAAATAAAATTCAAATTTTTTTTACAATTGTTGAGGTTTATTATTGTGCACTAAGGCAAACTCAACAGATAACAGTTGACAATCAAAACTTAAATGACAATAACAAATACCTATTATATACATACAGTGGCGGATACGGTGTTGAATTCTGAAGGTCTTATAAAAAAAGTTCTATTTATTATAATTTTTTTGTAAATATCAAATCTCCAAGTGAGGCCCTGCTGCCCCTCTTATCATCCACCATATGTACATATTGTGTAACGTTGGAATACTAACACAAAACAATGATAAATAACGCTTATTAAATAGGTAACTATTTAAACATAAAATTCAAAATAAATTATGTATTTTCTCTTGAATATTAACTGAATTATGTAAAAAATTATATTTTATCATAAGGAAAACTTTTTTTTATACAACTCAAGTTGTTCAATCACATTTTGCCTAGGAAAAAATTAACCAAAAAAAATAAAGCTCTACATAAAGGTATATCTAGATTATAGAGTTCCTCAGTTTACGGCAAAATCTTATTAACTTATGGGTATTTCGCTAAGTGAAGTAATTTAACCAAAATCGACAATCCATAATTTTTATGGTAAAATAATATTTATTTAAATGCAAATTATAATGTAAAATAAGATAGTATAATAACAGTTATAGCCTTATATTTTAGATTCTTTTTTAAATTGATAAAACAAATAATGATGTTTTAATTACTGTGAAAATATCACTAAAACTAAATTTTAAATCAAAATTATTCTTTAAAAATTGTTGCTAATTAGGTCACCTATGCTTTTTTATAAATACTGCAGCCTACAATACTATACTTAAATTTACTTTATTAGTTAAAAATAAAATAAAATAATTAGTCAATTAAAAGTGAACATCAAATGTTTAATAATTACATCATGGACATATGAAGTTGAAACTCATAGTAATAAATTGAAATTCATGTTTTATTAATAATTCACGTTGTATACATTTTTGCTTTATCTGCTCATTTATTTAATAATCAGTTGGTAAATATATGCTATAATATTATACAATTATAATAATTAATAAGAATAACACACATTCAGTACATTTTGAGTACTGAATTTCAAAATCATGTAACACAAAATTGTATCATTATTTCAGAGTTTTAGATTTTATATAAGGATAATCTAATTTATATTATAATTCATTTTAAACATAAATACATCCCGATTATTAACATTCACTATTTAAACAAATTAAATAATATCATTGTAACTACAAGAATATTTGAATACACACTATATCATTGTAACAGGTTAATTAATAACTTTTGGGAAAGTATTGTTAAAATTGTAATTATAAACAATAAATAATATTTAATAACTTGATTCAATTTTGTTCTTAAAAAAACAAGTAAGAATGGAGATGTGAACAGTTAACAAAATCAAAGTATAACTATAATTTACAAAAAAAAAAAATGATTAAATTAGACAATGATACTAAAAAGTTGTATTTATTTTTTTACCAAACATACATAATTATAAATATAATAATAAAATTCAAAGTCAATTTTTGAAATTATACAATTGGTTTAATTTTTTATCTCACTGCAGTAAGATCACATTAAGGGGAAATGTTAACATTTATATTTTTAATATGTATTTGAATAATAAGAACATATGCCAGAATTCAAGTTTAAGGTTCTGCTTTACTATTTAATTAATTATTGATAATAAATAAAGATTTATTCTTACTAACATTTAGAATAAATCTTGAGATATTTGCTAATATATTAGTGTAATTATTAGATTTTTTTAGATTTGTTTTTTTTCAGATTTTTTCTCTTTTCTGGTTTTGGCACAGTGATTTTATTAGTTGTCGTGTCTTGTCTGAAAAATGTAATAAGACAAATATATTTCAAGTAATCTACAATATTAATAGTATAAGTAAGTTATATGTATGAATATATAATCAATATAATATATTTAAGTTATCTATAAGTAAATCTATATTGTGGAATGTAGGTTCCATACTTGAAAAAGTGAGATTTAAAATTTAAAGCGCACTCATTACTGATTGAAATTTCTTTAAACTTGATACTAAAGATAAATTATTATATTAAAAATACAATTTCTAGTGAATAGAATTGTTAAAAATTGTGTACCTACTTCAATTAGAAGGTTATATTTGTACTAATAATTGCCTCAGTTTATTCCTCGACTATCATTATAAAAGCCACATTTTAGGTAAATTCTTTGGGAGAAACATTCTTTAAATCCTGTCTAAAAAGGTTAAAATCGTTAAAAATATGGGCTTTGATTAAAATAATATGATTACTACGAGTTAAAAATGTTTGTTTTTAATTATGAATAAAGATAGATAGTATTATATTAGTCATCAAGTATTACTTAGTTTAGTAACGAGTTGAAACATACAGGTACCGTAAAACATTAAGGTTATATAACATTTACAGCCTTATTAGGTAACTAACAATTTTCACTTTTATTTTATTAGTTAGTATACAATTTTATTTGGATAGTTGAACAAACAAACTTTCTTACCCAATAACAGATGTGGATTGTAATGATTTATCTAATATTGATTGTTGAAAACGTGTCATACGTCTTTCTGAAGTAGAAGGTGCTTCAATTAATGGTTCTATCGGCGCATGAACAATTGTTTCCTTAAATAAAAATATAAAAACTTTAAATATCTGAATGTTGGAATAATGGATAGTTAATTGTTTATTAGAGTTGTTGATTCTTAAAAATTACAATGTTAAGATTTGTAAGTAGCTAAAATAGTAGATAGTAAAATGAGTATCCCTTACTATTTCATATTAAGAAACCCACTATCTGAGGCCACATTAAAAAAAAACTACTATTTTTGCAAATATTAACTTAATTTAACAAATAACAAATATTGACATCCTTAGAAACACTTACCTTAATATTTTTGGTTTTGCGCTTAGGCAATAATGCTTCATCCTTTTCAAAGACAGATGAAGCTGATTTCCTTGTAGTTCTCATTTCAGGTATGCTGCTAACAGATGATCTTCTACTCCTGTTAATGGGTACTTTTGATTTAACTGATGGTTTGATTTCACTCTTCGCACTGTGAATAGGATCTAATTCTACAATGCTAGAATTTTGAATCATTGATCTTGTCATAATGCGATGAGAATCTGTTGATTCATCCGAAGAAGAACCTTCATTTTCAGAATCCATGTTAACCATACGTATTTTGGTTCGTTTTTTAGCTGGAGTATACAACATATGCTGAGAAATGTTCCCAGCAATTGGTGATAATTGTTCAGAGGAATAAGAGGAATTAGAATTTTGATTACTTTGATTAAACGCATTAGAATTATATTTAGATTCAGCGACTACTTTTTTTTCTTCCTCAACATGATTTTGGATTTTTTGTTTTTTTCTGCTCTTCAGCGACTCTGATACCGAGCGTTTTCTCATTTTTTCTGACGAATTTAATGCTTTTTTTAAAACTCCCATCAGATCGTCTTTATCGGTAGAAGTTTCATCATCTGAAATCAATATATTTACACTTGAACTTCGTTTTGGTTTTGTTTTCACAACAGAAAATGTTAAGACAGGGTCTGGTTGGAGGGATTTAGATCTTCGTGGAGTTCTTATTTTTATATCTTGTTGACACTTAAGGCTTATATTGTCGTGTTCTATTTTTTTTGAGGAATTAGATAAGAAATTGAATTTTGATTTTCTTTTTAATGTTGTATGTTCAGTTTTTATGATATTTGAATCTAAATTTGAAGTTTCTTCTTCAGGTATTTTCTCTAAGCCAAACACAGTTTTTCTATTAGTAACTTCTGATTCTTCTATAGGAGCTAAAGATTTTGATCGCCCACTTCTACGTTTTATCAATGGAATGTTTTCTTGGCTTTTTGATCTTTTTCTCGATAATGACACCCTTACTTGTCTACTGTTATCTTCAACCATTCCCGAACTACGGAAAATATTTGAAGAAATGGTTTCTAATTGTACTTGTTTGGGTTCACTTTTAGCTCTCGATCTTGTTGTTATTGTATTAGTGTCTACTGGTGGAATCGATTTGGCTTTTTTTATTTCATCAATTTCAAATGACATACTTGTTTTATTTTCTTGAATTGGATCAGATAACAATTTCTTTTTGTTACGAGTTAATATTTGTTCTGTTGTGGAAGGAACACCCAATAAACAATCTTTTGTTTTGGAAATACTTTTTCTAGAAGATGAACGCAGACTATAGTTTTCAATTTGTGGAATATCCAGGGTGCTTTTTTTATGACTTTTATCTAATTCTGCAAGATTTTCAACTAAATTTGTTTTATTTTCATTTGCAACCTTTTGAATACTACCAGAAGCATCTGGGAATTGTAGATCAACAGTTTTAACTGTAGTTGTATCCAATTCAATTAATTTTTGTACAGACGTGATTAGTTGATGTGATTCTATTTCTTCATTATTTAAGGTAGTATTAATGTTTTCATTAATATTTTGTTTTTTTAATAAATTATCATTATCACTGAAATCATTAAATTGATCAATGTTTGATGAACAAGACACAATAGATGTAGCACAATTAGAATGAACTTCTTCAGCATCCTGTTTGTTCAACTCGACTAGTTGATGTGATTCTATTTCTTCATTATTTGAGCTAGTATTGATATTTTGGTTTTCTATTAACTGATCATTATCACATTGAGAATGAACTTCATCAGCATCCTGTTTATTGATGATGTCAATTGGTTCAGTTGTAATGCTTCCTTGGGATATTGGAGAAGTTTTTTCATCTACAATGACACAAGATGATACATCAGATTCCATCGTATTTACAGAATGTGTATCAACTGTATTAGATAGAATCTTATCTGTTTTATAAATTTGTCCTTCTGATTCATTTGGTGAGGATGGGTTAGTTTGTTTGATCGTAAGTAAGTCACAACATTCATAACTCGACAAATCTTTTTTTTCCAGTTCAAGAGATTTTTTTGATAAATCTATACTTGTACATGGAGTTTGCTCTTTCTTTTCAAATACTTCCACGGAATCAATGTTTCCAAAATAAATGGGTTTTTGAAGATGGGAATCACTTAACATAGTTTGTCCATTGTCATTCAGTGTTTCGTTAAATTCTTTTAACTGTGGTTGTAAATTATTAGAATCTGCATTGTTCTGTGTTTCAAAATTGTCGTCTGGATTACTTTCAGGTAACGATTCTAGCTCTAATATATCTTGAATTTCACCCTGTATTTCAACTTCTGTTTCTTTATTAGTAATATCAACTTCATTCTCAACTGCAACTGACTCTTGTGTTTCAAGTTTATTGGCTTGTACATCTACATTATCTAATTGTTCATTTTCAAAACTATATAAATGGCCAAACAGAAGCATAGGCTTCTTCTCGGGAATTTCTTGTTGGCCAAAAAATGATTCCCCAAACATAAACGGAGAAGATTCATTAACATCCATTTCTAGCTGATCTGCTTCAACTCCAGTCATTGTAAGATGATTAAAACCATCATCAGGTATGGGATTAGATTCGCTTCTTGACATTTCAAAAGAATTATCATTATTAAGAGACATATACTCTTCATTCTGGTCAATACATACATCATCTTTATTGTGTTCAATGTCATCAAGATTAATAGGCTCACTTACTTTATCTGTATTTTCAACTACTTCAATAACATTATCATTGTCTTTTTTCACACATAAATCATTCGTGTTGTCATCTTCGATTATAATACTATGAGCATTTTCATTTTCTTCATCACATATCTGATTGTTCTCATTTGAATGAGATTCTTCACTGACGTCATACAAAATAGGAGTAAGATTTTCTAATGAACTGGATTGTGAATCAATGGGATATACTATTTTATCATTGTCAACTAATTCATTCTTTTCTGATAATTTCTCATTTTTGAGAGTTGTTAACAATATCAAATTATTTGCAGCACTTTCATCATAGAGTATGACATTTGCCACTTCAGAACTGTTTTGTTCAATTGCATCATCAAGTACTTCTGAATTGTTTTCTTCGCTTGCAACATCCAGTAAGACACTTGGTTCCTCTGAACTTTTTTCTTCACTTCCAACATTCAGTAAGACACCTGGTTCATCTGAACTGTTTTCTTCATTTCCCACAACCAGTAACACACCGGGTTCCTCTGAACTGCTTACTTCACTTTCATCATCAAGTATGGAATGTATTTCTTCGTCACTGTTTTTTCCACTTGTATCATCATTAATTATGACATTGGGTACTTCTAAATTGTCATCATTGTCGCCAACAAGTATGCTATTTGGTTCTTCATTTGCATCATCAAGCATGGCATTTTGTACTTCTAAATTGTCTTCATTTTCACTATCAAGTACAACAACTGGTTCTTCTGAAGTATTATCGTCACTTTCATCATCAATTATGATATCTGATTCCTCTGAAAGGTTTTCATCACTTACATCATCTGGGTCTTCCAAATTGTCTTCATTTTCATCATATGATTTGTCTGCGAAACTTTCTGCATGATATTCTTCTTTATTCTCAACACATTTTAAGTCTGCTTGATCTTCTAAATTATTATATATAACAAGTTCTGAGTTATCCTCATCATTATCATATTTTTTATCCTTATTTCCAGATCCAATATATGTTGAGCGGCAGGTTTCTAGATTTTTCTTTTTGTCATTTTCATCAAATTTAACATTTTGTTGTTCTAAGCTGGCCATGCAAGGTTGTTCCAAATTACTTTCTTCACTTCCTTCACTATGTAGATCTAAATCATTTTCATCTTCTCTTCGCCATATGTTTTCACTTTGTTTAGGGGTTACTTCTATTTCAGATTCTTCAGAGTCTCCTTCATACTGTTCGGATATGTCTAACTCTTCAACTTCTTCTTCACAGTCTTCTTCAATTTCGCTATCTCCAATTTCGTCTTCTTCAATTTCACATTCTCCAATCTCCTCTTCGATTTCATCTTCTCCAATATCATCATCATCATCATCATCATCTTCTTCTTCAATATATTCTCCAAGTTCCTCATCATTACTATCTTCACCACCTTGTCTCTCTTGAGATTTAAATCTACCATATCTTGTGTTTTCTAAATCACTGTCTTCTGACATAATACTGCCCTCTGATTCAATACTGCCATCTGATTCTTCAATACTGCCACCATCTGATGAACCTGCAGATAAAACGTCACTTTCATCCTCATCTGAATCCAACAAGATTAACTCAATATCATCATTCATTTTTTTTACTGGGAGCCGGTCATTGGAGTTTGTGTCCAGTCTACAGTCAATAGAAACTTTATTAATAAGTGGTTTTTCGGTTTTACTTATATCTTCTTGGACATTTGGAATTGGAGTGTAATTATTGGTATCTAAAGGAATCAAGGTAGCATAATGCGGATTTAAGTTTTTCTTCATATCTATTGGATATGATTTTGGAGTCAAAAGTTGAGTGTTGTCTTCTTTCAAAGACAAACTTGTATTTTTTGGTGATAATTTTGATACTTCAATTAGTTCAACATCCTCATCCTCATCATCAGATGTTAACATAATACAGTCCTCATCTGATGGAATTGAAATCATATTTTCTTCTTTGGTTTCATTTTTAGACATATCATCTATTTCAATTTGTTCATTTCCAGAACATGAATTATCCTCAGAAATATCCATTTTTTCATATTCATCACTCTTATTCAATTTAGAACTATCTTCGAGTGACTCCTGGGAAGTTAATGGTTTTTCTTCAGAAATTTGATTTGGTAAATCATTGGCATCACTGCTATCAACACTGTAAAAGCTTTCATTTTCAGGATTATCAGTATGTTGCACATTAACCACGTCTTCAGGATCAACTCTAAAAAATAATAATTTATGATATGATTAAAAAATAATTGATTGATGATTAAGTTAAGACAATTTTTTAAATCATTATTTTTTTAAGTTTTTACTTTTTTTGAATTACAGCAGTTTAACCTTCATCGTTGAAAGCAGAATATTTTTCTGAGTATTATTATGTATAATAAATGAGTTTAGGATGTGTAAAAACTTAAAAAATGTTTAAGGTCATTTATATAATTTATTTTTTAAACAACTAGAAGCAATGTTCATTTTTTTTTTTCATCGACCTTAAAACTTTTTGAAATAATGAGTGTTCAATTATACAAAAATCATTCAGTATTGTGATGTTCACAATTTCTCAAGATCTTAATACATTTTATGATTGCAAACATAAAAATATTAACTCAATGTTTTGAAACAATATTTAGTATACATTTTTCAAGTAATTAAATATTTTTCATAAGTATAATAGATACTAAAAAATAATAAACAGGCAAAATCAAAAACATACCTTTCAGGTGTAGTGTCAGCATTACAAGGTAGACTAAATCTTATTGAAGACCTTGGAGTTTTATCATTACTAAACGATAATTTGTGTTTGTTTGTTGCAAGTTTCGTCTGAAATCATAATTAATTTATAATAATTTTACATCAGAATCTGAATTAAACTACAGAACAACAAATGTTATGTTAATTCATAATAATAATTAATATATTTTGATCTAAATTCAAACTTTGTGATGATTGGCGGACCTTTTACAAACTTGGCATATAGAAATATTCCAAAATATATACTAAAGGTTAAATACATATATATAATAAATTATTATTAAAAATGAATAAATGAATACATTAAGCAGCTGTTTTAATAATATTATACATTTGATATAATTATTTGATTATTTATTTACTATTTTGGATACAATGAAGAACATGAAATTCTTAAACAAAACTTTATTCTAATTAAATAAACTAATTTTTTGTTTTAATTTTTTTTAAGATAATGGACCTGACTGAAAGCTGTAACATTTTTCATAACATAGTAACAATGGATTAGTTAATGATATAAAAATATTGATTTAATACTTCCTAGTCTAATGGAATTTATTTGTTTAAATGTACTGTACTAAAATGTAAAAAATATATTATAAACAAATAATAGTTACTTAATAATATAATACATTATTCATTATTAAGTATGATATAATATGAGATTTAATCTATTTCTGAAATGTCAAAAACTATATATCTAAGACAGTTATAATTATTTAACGGGTATTTAACTTGGTATTTTATTAAATGAACAAAATTGAAATTAAATGGACAAACACAATAGTATACCCAACAAAAAGAAAGGTTAAGATTGTCACTTGCCTATTAGAAGTTTTTCGGTAAGGGTTCTTCAGATGTTTTTTGGCCTAAAATAATTTCAAACACTTTAACCTAAAATGAAACAAAATTCTACCTGAAAACCCCTTGAGATGAAATACTATGTACCCGCTACCTATTGCCAATAAATACCCAGAAATTATGAAAAATACCCAATGAAAATCGAAGTCTATTTTGTGTTGGTTACACTATGATAAATAATGTTATTGTACAAAATTGTGTATATAATGTAATACTATAAAATATGTACCTTTAAAATTGATGAGTAGCTTGTAATAGATGGTGATGCAATGGTTTTTTCAACTAAAGGAGTATTGAGTATTTCTAATACTTGTTTTTCGATTGGTTTTACAATTTCATTATCGGCGATTGGAGTACTTAATAAATTATCATCGATTTTTCTGCGTTTTTCATTACAAATCATATCTGAAGGTGAAGGTGATTCAACTAAAGGTGACCGTTTCCTCATATTATTATTTGATGGTAAGAAAAGATCACTAAACAAAACAATTCAAATATATATAGTAAGAATTATCAAGTAATTTAAATGGCAATAATAAATAATCGTTTACATTGAATTTGATGGTGTAAAAGATGCACTCTTTCTTTTTACCAAGTTATTTGTTTTATTCCTATCCATTACAAACATTTTACTCTCATTGTTCATACATTTCACAACAACGTCTAAAAAATAATAAATTAATGTAAGCAAAACTATTTATAGTAGGTGGTATTAACACACTGACATTGCAGTATTTTACAATAGTTTTAGAATAATACACATTAACTCACTTGGTTTTTTATATACACTTTGAAGAGGAAGACGGCCATAATTGTTTTTCATAATATTAGGAATACTTTTTTCAAATCCATCGACTAAAAGACTAGTAATTGTCAGAGCATCATTATTATTTGATTTAAGGTTAGCTTTTAATGTTTGATTTAGTTTGATAGCTTCCTTGTGTCTAAAAAAAAAGAATGTATGTATGGCAAAGTACTAACTCTAAATGTTCAAATATTATGGTAAATTTGTCGAACAATCACAAAATATTGTATTGAATATATTATTTTAATAAAATGTGCACAGTTTATTTTAATAAGTATTTTATACTATGGTTTGCAATATATTTTAATCACTGTTTGTATATACTGTTATGTTTATCTTATCAAATAATATACTGACTAAAATGTCAAATCATTCTACACAGGGCAAAATAAATGCTAACTTAAATATCTATGAATTATTTTTTACCCATGTTATTTGTTTAAACTTTTTCAATTATAAAATACAAAAATATTATAAAAATGAGAAGATGGGATAATGTAGTCCATTGCTAGTAAAACAATATATTTTTGTTTTAAATGACAAGTAATAAATTCAAGTTCAGTAAACCCAGTTATTTTTATAATTAGCATGATAAGTATATTGTATCATTAGGTACAAGATATTACTGAATACATTTTTAAATATTGAACAATAACATAGAATAGGTTTTATAAGTGATTGGAAATGAATAATAATGTTAAATTAAATACAATATTTCAAGATGCTCTAGAATCTCATTAAATAAATATGTTTATACATTTAATAATTCCACTTACCTTCCTCGCTGTAACAAAAATAACAATTGAAAAGTTAATGTCTCTGTATCGTCAAACTTTTTCAAATAAGATAAAAATAGTTCTGCTTCCTCGGCATCCCAGAGATACTCTATCAAACATTTTAACCTGTTTGTTTCTCTACATCCTAATAATCATAAATAAAAGAACATTATAAAGAAGGTTTTAATAAATTTATAGTTAGAAAACTTACGGTCAAAGAAATATTCAAACAATGTTTGTTGTTCTTTAAAGGGCCTTGCTCGTAAATAAATTAAAGTATCAAAACATTGGTTGTTCATGATTTGCAAGTTAACATAAAACCTGAAATAAAAAAATACAAATGCAACTAGTCAATACTTACTTATTTGTTTGTATGCTTTTAAATTCAAACATATCAATAAATTATAAATTGCTGTAGTTAATTTAATATACATAATTGATTTATTAGGGGGTCTTTTATGTATCTCATATTCCCCACCTGGTGACCTCTTGCTGGTCATTTTTAAATGTTATATATTTATTTAAAATTTGTACACCAAACAGCAATTACAAAGAGGTAAACAAAACAAGTTGATTGATACAACAGTGAAAATAAAACAGGGTTATAAATATAGTTATGAATATAATAAAAAAATATTGAATATAGAGAAATGTAGAAGGTAGGAGTCGGGAGGTAAATGTTCTGAGCATGTGGTGAAGGGAATTGGTTATGACTGGCGTAAGAGATGGTGTGACTGGGGATAACAAAGTTAGCTGGTTGCGGGTGGGGTATGAACTCTAAAGCAAACTTTTTCAAGAAGGGAAATCCAAGGGGAATCCAGGGAACCATTAAAGAGACAATATGAATTTATGGACAGCTTCAATGCAGCGAGAGGATACAGAGAACTTCACGTATGTAGAAGTAGTTAGTATGATCAGAATGTTGAGAATGAAAGCAGCATATGCTAAAAATGTATTCTGTATGTGTTCAAGATGAAGTTGGTTTTTTGCAAGAAAAGGGTGCCAAATAATCATACCAAATTCAAAAAGGGGTCAAAAGAGTGATACATATAGTGAATAGAAGCAAAGGGGGCAGATTTCAATCATTGATGTTGCTCTTAATGAATCCGAGCACTTTCAAAGCTCTATTAGCGGTATAGATGTGATGTGAAAAAGAAAGAGAAAGTAGAATATCCCAAAGTTTTAAACAATGGAAGCATCATAGATAATATAAATATGGATGACTACTCCTAAATTAACAAATTGAAGCGTCGCTCTCCTAAATGTGGATTAGGGACAGACTGCTTTAAACTAAGACACTCAAGAGTTTTATGATTGATTTTATTTGTTATATAATTGATATACAATTTAAATAGAAGTAAATAATTTGTGAAATAAGTTCATACTGTTTATATATTTAAGTTGATAAAATAATTATTAAATAAATAACATATAGGTAGTCCAAGTAGTGCATAATTTATACAAATAGATGAAAAGATATATAACAATTACAGAACTCAGGGAATGTAAAAACTAACCAAATTTTCATGAACTTATTAAATGTATATCAGAATATATCTTACTTGTGATCATCGATGTTGACTAAACTGATTTTGGTGAGTTGCATGTAAAACCGTGCCCAAAAATATTGTTCTTTAAATACAAGTAATTTTAAGACAGTCCAGTGATACCAATCCCAAGATTTATCATTAACCATCCATTCATTACTACTGGCTAAGATTTCCATAGCTTCCTGAGAATAAAAAATAAATAAATATTACAAACAAGTAAAATTAAATGTGAAAATAATATATGATAATTGTGAGAATAATATTTACTCCAAACATGTCATGATCTAATAACCAGCTAGCACGACAAAGTGCATTCAATCCTTTATTTTCAATATCAAATTCAATAGCAAAATTACACATACGATTTGCTGTTATTACATCAATCCTAAAAAGATCATGTAAAATTATATATAATTCCAGTTAATTATATGTTTCAACAAAAAAATTATTTTAAAATATTAAAACTAACTCTCGTGATGAACAGACATCAATCAAAAAATAAATTGTAATAAAATCTTTGACTTGGTTAGAAAGTGCAGCATTTAAATAAATCCTTAATAAGCATTGGACATTAGATGGTGGATACAGGCCTTTAGTCTCTTCACCTCCTTCATGTTGCCATTGTTCAATTAATTTATTTCCTTTAGGTTCATTAGACACAAATGCATCAATAAGATATAATGATAAACCTCCAAATTCCAATCGACTAAAAAAGTATTATTGTCTATTAAATTAAAATTTTAGTTGGATTTTAAAGATTAAATTACTAACCGTTTAATAGCATACTGAATAAGAGATGAAAAATCACATTGTATGATTTTCTGAGTAGGGTCTTCTTCATTGGATTCTGGTAAAAGTCCATAGTTAAGAAAACATGTTACCGCTTTAAAATATTGAGTTACCAAATTTAGTGTATACACACGATAAGAATAGTCAACTGAAATAAAAAATTATTATTTGACTTGGTTGATTTTTTCACTTATTATAAACTATTATTATCATTAAAAATAAAATTTTGACATTGGGTATTTAAAAACATAGTAAAGAATTAAGAAAAATTCAAACTAATAATCATATAATAATATGAAGAATTATACATTCTCTGTTGATTATATTTACCATTTATTATATGAATACCATATGCATTATGCAAATCTTCCAAGAAATGTTTAACACACAGCATTTGAGATACACAATGATTTAATATCCTTTCATTTTTTTTACCCAATTGCGTACCAGAATAGTCAAACAAAGGAACACCTAAACCAGATATGTATTAAAAATAATTATAACAATCATATTTATCATATGCACTAGATATTTACATAATTTGTCTGCATATTGTTTTACAACCATGACATGCTTCCAAAGACATTGAACTAAATGTAAAATTGTTGCTTCACTAGATACATAGGTTCCATTTTTCCATTCTTCTGCACACGCACTAAGAACCGACATAATTTTGTTTTCGACTATAATTGATATTACAAAACTTCTTTGATCAGGCTGAAAAAATTTAATTTTATCATCAATTTATATAAGATTATGAATATAAGTAAAATTAAAAATTCTAAATGAACAAAATGGATGAAATATATTTTTATTTCTTACCAAGCTGTAATTTGCGTAATCATCTGTTTTATCCCAAAAGAAAGGTCTTAAATTTGTTTGTAAACACTGGCTAAATATTAAACTTGGATTTATTAATAACCTCCAATTTTTTAAAAGCAATTGATCCAAAATTTCTTGTTGAACACCAGCATGTTTAAATCTAATAATTTCTGTGTCTAATAAACAATCACATTCTGGAAAAAAAATTTTGAAGTATATATTAGAGAACAAACGACAATGATTATTACTATAACGTTGTTACCAAAATATATTGAAGATGGATAGTAGAGTTCTTCAACATTGTTTCTAAAATTGTAACCGAATGGGCGCAATGTTTGGTCAGAAATATTTAAATCTAAATAACTGGCATTATGAGGCAATTTCACAAAACTAGCATAAGAATTTGATACTTTAAGATGATTTATATTTGATGGCATCTGGGCTTTATACCACTGGTTAATATCAAACAAAAAAACGTAAGATTCAGGGCTAGCATCTACATTTTGACGAATTTCCATTAACATTGCAAATAATCTAATTTCACAATCTTCATCCATATCTAAACAATGTTTAAAAAACACCATTATATAAAATTATATAAAATTTCATTGTTTACATATATTAGCATTTATCTTATTTTAGATGATCAACATTAACTAAATATAAATTTTTATTTACCAGTTTCATTTCTGAACAAGTTCACATTACATAAAGTTAATGCAGATATGCATCGACCAATTCCGGATTCTCTTCTTAAAGACATTTCTAATTTTATGCCATTTCCTTTGTATACCTTGGTGTTAACAAAATTTCATAAAAAAATTATTTTAAATTTAAATTTGTAAAATTTAACTCACTCTATATGACAAACAGCCATTTGACATCACAGTTCTCTGTTCGTAGGTTAAAGCAATCATCATTGCGTTTGGAAGTCTAGAATTGTCTGATTGAATAACCCAAAGATAACATAGATTGTTTGGATCATCTGATGGCTCAAGAAAAGTAATATGAGTTACTGGCATAACACATTTAGGCTCTTTTAACAAATATCTAAATAAAATAATAAACATCATTTCAGTTAGAAAATGATAACAAAACAAATAAATTATTTACAGGCTCATGCTCTTAGTGAGATTTATGATTTTATGAATATTACGAAAGAGTTATCAAATACTTACATTGTCCGCATCATTTTACAGTCCCATAGTTGGAAGTGGCCTGTAGAATATCCAATTGCAACAGTATTGATTTCTTCGTTATACAACAAACTAGATATGCTGAAGCTCAGTTTGCCACGGTATTGTTTTTTACAATAGATACAGAAATTTTCTAAGACAAAATATGATAATTAATAAACTATGAATAAATTATCTAAATTTTATTTTACCATTTATAAACATTGCTAAATGACAATCACTATCATCACTCATCTCTTTAACTTCTTGGCAATCTTCATTTTTTCGTATAACGAATAGTTTGCTTGGCCTAGATTCATTTACAACTATTTCATTTCTTCGTAATTCTATGGAAAATAAGAACTTTATTTTTATGTTAGGGGTATAATGTTTGGTTAACTTACGGTTTTCAATGTGACGTTGTCTTAGATCAACTGCAAAAACCGCTCCAGTTATCATTCCAACTAACAGTACAGTAGACATAACTTTAAACTCATCACAAAGTTGATCTTGTGCAAGTGATTCATTATTTATTGTAGAAATGTAGGATATCTGAATTAATTAACATAATTTTTTTTAATTTATCTTTATTTTTTTAAGTAAAATTACTTAAAAGGACATCACACCCTTATTATTTGTTGTCCCTTTAATAGGTCAACTGTTTCATTTATTAAAGCTTACTACAAAAAATGTATCTTGTGTCACCTGTTTGCAAGATGGATACAACACATATGGGTAATGTGTCCCTTTAAGATAATTTAATAAATTACAAATTAGCATACTGGATTAGGCATATGAATACAGCGAATGGTCGTTAATGTTGGCAATTGGCAAACAAACAATATACCAAAGGATTTACATGAACATCCAACTAACAGAATGTGTGGATTTTCACTTTTATGTAATTCTTGAACAAAGGTTATCTGGAATCAAAAACCAATAGTATCTGTTATTATTTTACAGTACCCATTAACTACAAAGGGATTTATAACACAAAAAATTGTATAAATACTTAAATATTTTTAGACTTTTTATAAAATGATGAATTTAAAAAAATTACTCATCATTTCTCCAATCTAAAAATAAATATATTGTTGAAAAGATTTGTGTATGCAAATCACACATCATTAATCAAAATACTAAATTATTCTTAGGAACATTTTTACCACTTATGTTTGTGAATGTTATAGGTAAGTAGGTACCTAAATTAAAATAAATTAATATTGCCCAAACACAATATATAATTAACAATTAATAGGCACACATTGTATTTAGCTTCAAATAAATAATTTATAAAATAGTCAACATTGATTTTATAAAATACAGTTAAAAATGTTAGCTTGAAAAATGTTTAATGACATTGAGAATCAATATGCTACAAATTATAAAAGATTAATTTTCAAAATATAGGTAGTACACTTTAAACTATAATTATTGTCTATAAGATTAATTGTCATCAGAATTTGTTCCCTGGATTTATTACCTAGGAACAAAACAACTCTTGAAATCTTAAGATTATTTTCTTCTAAAACTGATCAACCGCCTAGGTCCTAAGTTTATTAGGCCCTCTACCTAATTATTGAACCGGAACAAAGTCGATTTAAAGTAGACGATGACAATATCAACAATTTTTTGCTAGATAAAAATGCACCAGAATGTTTGGACCGAAACATTGATATAGCTTATTATTTCAGTGCTGTTTTTCTCTTTTCTTTACACTTGTATGGTCCAAATAATTTTTGTATAATATACCTTGACCAGCGAGAGAACAAGCCAATTCTGTGTAACCACGAGACTAGTTCCGCTATGGCAGGGTCACTCGCAGGTAATCGGGTGGGGATGGGCAGAAGAACAGAATTTTTTTGAAGAACAGTGGAGTGTTCTCTCGCTGGTTAGTGTATACCCAATAGATGGTACCCACTTACTCAGCCGTCTTGAGCACAACCGAAGTGGGTGCGCTACTTACCGTCAACGATTTGTCCTTTTGATTGGTGGCAAACGACCGGGACGACACAACGGACCCGAGCTGTTTCGAATAAAGTATGATGTCGGCCCCGGCGGCGAACCACGCATACTCGCCGTTGGAAATCAGACCGCCAGACTTGTTGCAATCGGATTCAAGCAGCTGGTTTGATATGTGGTGCGAGCCGATGACCTGCATCACTTGTTTCAGGGCGGACATGTTGCCGTACGCGGTCAGCAACGCTAACGCTCACGATGTTCGCGCACACGGTACGCGGTTGCCCGAGCCAGCCGGAACGTCCGCACTCGGCAAAAACCGAAAACACACTCTCTCGCACACTAAGGACACCGAACGCACATCGGTGGCGAGGTGTTTTTGCAACGCTTTTCGATCACTTCGCGGGAACTTCCATGCTTTTCCAGAATATTGTGTTCACTTTTTTATTCCCCGACCGTTCACAGTACCGACGCAGTACACTACTATCGAACAATTGGACAATCGCGTCGGTGCTGCTGGCCGTGCATGGCGGGCGACCGCTACCACTCCCCTCTACACCTTACCCACTGCGACCGCAGCTGGTCACGTGGTTGTGGTGCTGCAGTTGTTCGACAAATACGGTGCTGTTGTAACGGCAGAATGTTCGCAACGCGTAGATAAAACGACAGAACGTCCACAGGACGGGTCGTTTGCCTTTTTACTGCCGCGACCGGCCGAGTTTTTTGAGATAAAACGTTATCGGACGATTTTTCGGAGCCGTACGCGGGAACGCGCGCGATACAATGGACAAAAAATAATAATCGCGCGGAATTGTTGGCCAGGTAGCCATATAAATATTATAAAATTAAAATGTATAAATGTGTAGTAGGTACAGGTACATTGTAGACTGTTCCGCAGAATATAGTATTATCATCTGCGACTGTGATTGTCTTGTTCTCGCCTCCACAGTAGTGTTCACGACCGGAGGACATCGGTTCTGTCGTTTTGTGGCATTGCGACACAAAGACTTCTTTAAATGAATTCTTTAATGATACATAATATACCTAGAGAAGATTGTGTTGATAATATTACCTTCTGTACATCATGATTATGATAAAATTAAATGATGCTTATGAGGTACCTTACATAGGTAGTTATAAATGTTATAATAGTTGTAATGATAGTTATAAATTAAAAATTGATAGTTGGTAACTGTAGAATTATAGTCAATAGATTAAAGTCCGTGTTCCGCAATACGTGGTAGAGGGGCAGAGGGCAAATGTTTACTACAAATTCAGCGCACTGTTGCAGCCATAGCCATACAAATATTTATTTATTTATATGTCTATTGTGCAGCAGCTTCTACGTTTGCAAATATTTTGATAACCTAAGACCTAAACAAATTATTCCATTGATAAAAAAATTTGTTTTGTTATTTCATTAATTGCTTAATACTTGAGTAGGCGTGAGGCATAGAAATAATGAAATAAAAATTATTTTGATTTTATTCATTTAATATTAACATGTAAGAACAATCACTTGTAATTCGTTTTTGAATTTTTGACCTGTGTTAACATGCCTAGCGAATTTCCTTTAATTATGCATCACTATAAATAACAAATCCTAACATAATTTTATAATTATATGTGGTTACTGATTGAACGGTACATAACACTTCCTACATTTAATACAATTCATTAAGACAATACCTTATGGAGGTAGATATAAAGAATTCAAGTCATGGCAGTGTACCAGTGTGTAGGGAGAGCAGAGTCCTCCTCGTTGACGTTCAATTATCTAACCAATCATTCAGTCAAGTACAATAGAATGTCAGCATAAATATTTGGGAAGTACACCTACCATTGACAGCAGAATATGATTGTCAGAAATTAGGCACCGAATTGCCATGGCAAAAATCTTAATCTAAACTCAAGACTCGAAAGAACTGTTCTAAGCTACTGGAACTAATGGAGTATTAAACTTCAATATGTTTGTCTGATCATCAAAATAAGAATAATATATAGCATAAAATCATTTTACAAACTAATTTTTTAATGAACATATTTTTTTTTTTATGTTAACCTTAGTGCTTAGTAAAGTACTGTTCAGTTACATTGATTAAACCAAAAACAGAAGGCTAACAAGAGAAATATGGAGAAATTATCTTACAGAATCATTAGCTCCTTTACGTCAATAAAGTTCATACTTCTATAACACAAAAGTTAAAATTATTAGATAAAAACTATTTTTTACAAAACAAAACCGCAAATACTTATAATTTACAGTGTTCGGAAAGAACGTCATTCGTGAACACACATTTACACTTTCGCGTTCATATTTAATCACATCACTCGTTTTTTTTCAAATTGACCCTGAAGAACGTTTATATTTCAATGAAATTGAACTATTTTTAATTTTTCAATTTATTTGCCATTTAATAAACATTCGTTTAAAATATATTGATTAATTGTATTATATAATAATATTTTCTTACAAAAATTAATATCATAAAAAATTTAAAAAAATTAATGAACGACCTTGTGAACACATTCATTTTTTCAATGAATGTAACTGTAAATTTGTTCAATTGAAAAAAAACAAGTACATGAACGTGAACAAATTCATTTTTTTAGTAAACGTTCTGAACACTGATAATTTATAAGCAATACTACTAAATCAATTTATTTATGTTTCATATTCGTGTAAAATATAATTAATTAAGTTATCTTGTAATTTAAGTTTTCAGTCTGCCGGATTTGTGTTAATTTAATAATAGTTCAATTTTGTCTTGTTCTATCTTTCTAGAAAATTGCACAACAGTAAACTATAAATAAATTATTTAAAAAAGTCTATAGAATATTAATTTTTTCTAATGTTTTTGTCTATGGTGGTAAATTAGGACTTTCATATTCTAAAAAATTGAGAAGCAAAACTATTTTCATTTATGTTACTCATAGCTCTAACTGTTCTAAGAATAAATTAATAGTCATCACAACCAATATTAAACACATAGTAACTCAACTTTTTAGATTTAATATTAACGGTGTATAAGTAACAATATCTTTAAAAAAAAACTGATAATGATGTTTTAATTTGTAATTTCTTTGCAGAACCAGAACTACTTTTTACAACAGTTTTTACGTCTAGAATATTCTTCTTCTTAATAATTTTATTTATGTTCTAACATTTAAAATATAAACAGCACCTATAACATGATTAAATGATTTTTAATTATTAAACATAATAAATTATAGTTTAATTCTGTGTGTATTTCTGAACATAGTATAGATTTTATTGATTAAGATCTTTCAATTACAAGTATTTAGTAATACCATAATGGAAAACCATCTCCCAAATAATATAGTAATTAATATTTATTCAAAATTAAAAGCTTGAGTATGCTTTGTAATTGTAGGATACTTACTAGGATTATCAATTGATTCCTTAATAAAATGGTAATTTTAACATATAAAATTGAATTTATTAATTATTTTAAATTATTAACATAATTGAAAATATAATACTTTTAGTTAGGTAGGTAACACAGTATTTTTAATAGGTTCCTTAAAATTATTTTATGTTGCTTATTTTATTTCAAAATAAATGTATTATCTCTGTCTCAAAAGAGAATAATCAGTTGACCAACCGATTTATGTCAGTGCTGCATCTCAAACCAACTGCCCAGTGTTAGCTTGATCATTGGGTTCTAGAGTCTCCAATCGCATCATTCACAAAGAGCAAAAGGTGATAAATTAAATAATTAAGCTTTCAATTAATATACTTTTATAGTTACCTAATAATATGTGATATGTTGTTCGATCCAGTCTGTGTTTTGAGTTTTCTACCAAAGCATACAGTATGTTATACCAATTTTACAGACAATCTTGGTCCTCAGATAAATTTTATGAAAGCATATTGAAAAAATGGTCATTGTTTACTTGAGAAAGACTTTTCCACTTTTATGGAATTGAATTCCTAACTCTAAAAAATTAGATTTTTTGAATACTAAGAATTTTTTTAATGTTCATAATATTGAAGTGAACAATTTATTTAAAAATATAAGTAAGTAGTTTTCAAGTAAATTGTATGACAAATTAAAATATTTTTAATTGGATAAATAAGTTAGCTTATCCAATTGACAATGATTAATACTTTTGACAAAAAATATAATAATTTTTTTTCTTGTAGCATTTTTTTGGCATGTACGTTAAGGGTGTTCACGGACAAGAATGCTCTACTACTATGCACATATTTACACGAAAAGCACCGAGGAAATTGCCTATATTGAACTCCTTAAAATGTGTCTGTATCAGATTGCATGCAATCAGTCATCAGTCTAGCTAGAGCAGAAGACTTGTAGCTCTAAAAAATCAAAATATATGTACTAAAATGTACAAAATATACATCTTAAAGTATAGAATCGAAGAAATATGCACTAAAACCAGAAAAAAACTCGAAATATGCATTTATATGCAAAATAAAATTTCAAAATTAACTTTTTTTCAGCATGAAACGTATTTGTTTCCTACTCTGCTATTTTTGTGATCGTGCAAAACAAATATGCAAATGCTATAGGTCCTCTGCCCTAGTCATTACCAACTTCATCCATCACCGGGCATCACAGAATTATATTATACTATTTACGTTGCTAGTAGCTTCAGAAAATTATCAAATTAATTTACTTCATACATAATACATCATCTTTGGTTTAAAAGAATATGCAATTTTTTTGTTTTAAAATATTTAAAAAGTGGCCCTCGCAAAGTTTTTCAAATTCCTGATATGCCATTCTGCCTTTAAAGTTACGGGCTCAAATACTATAATTATATCTGATAATACAGGACACGAATACACGATCATAAAAACTGGTGAATTATTTATCATTGTTTAAATTTTTAAAGTAATTGCCTATTTTACTCCTTATAATTTTCATGAACAAATTAATGAATAACATATCCGCCGTTTAACACTTACTGACATACCAATTAATACTAAACACTCATTCCCTTTTATAGTTATTAGTTAGAAATATTATATAATTTAGATTTTAAATATTATGGAGATTATAGATTTATAGTCCTTGCATATTTGATCATACGTAAGTTCATAAATCTATAATAGGTTTTTAATAAAGTGTAAATCATGTTATGTATTTTACTTTTACATAATAATATTATGACACAAACTAAAATGTGAAATTATGACATAAGTGATAAAAATAAATAATAATAAATACTAATAATAATTTATACTCAAGTATGAACTACTTTTTTAACATTAATAATGTTTGAATCTTGAATGAATCGTTGCACTTCTTCACATAGCAATTTGATATTTATACTGATGTTTAAAGATGTATCTAAAAATTGTGTATTGCAGTCTTTGCATACACTTAGTGAGTACCTTTTATACAAACCTTACTTATTATTAGTTTAAGATCTTTTTTTTCAGAATAAGGTTGTCGTGTTTGCATGAACATGTTTGGTAAACTCCAATGTTTTGGTAAGAGGATAAAGCAAACTACAGCCTTCATATTCTTTTA